TTGCTTCCTTCTCTTCGCGCACAAACCACGCTCTGTTTGAGTCTCAGATATGCTCGCAAACCCGTAGACTCTGCTTGCGGATTTGTTTTGCTCTCTCTCAGACTGCAGTTGGATCGTCGCCTAGCAACCTTTCCAGCCAATAGAACGACAGCCTCGGAAAGGGTGCGCTTGTTTAACCCTACTGAGTGTGCCTGTGCTACTACGCCGCTTATAAGAGCGTCAGCTGAAACTGCTATTTACAGTAGTTTTGTGGCTGATTGTTGTTTAGAAATAGAAAACCTGGTTTCATTTCTTAGTTATGCCCTGGATTTTGTAGCGTTTGTGGACGCTACGTCGCTACTTGATCAAAACAATAACGTCGCTACAGGAAAGTTACTTGATAAATAAAGCAGCGACGCTACGCTCAAGCTACTGGAAAATGTAGTTAAACTAATAGCTTCGCTACATGTAGCGGCGCTACTGCCCATCACTGCAAAGTACCCTATGTATGCTACTTTCCAGAGTGCTGGAAGGGCATTTTCAAGATGAGTAGACGTTGTATCTAAGCCACCACATGGAAAAGCCAGGTTTTTCTACAAAGCTTTGCACCAATATTTGCTGAGAAGAGTCTCACAGCACTGCACCTTATATGGATTTCATCAAAGGCAGGTGAAATACTTGGACATCAAAAACTGGTTCAGCCTTAAAGGCAAACTTTTTCTTAAAATAAATCTGAGTCTCGGTGTAAATTTTGTTTAAGACGAAGTTTATATATGCCACTTTCAAGAGAGGTGGACTCTCACATCAACTTATATGATTACATCACAGGCAGGTGAAATACTTGGACACCAATGCCTGGTTAAGCCTTAAAGGTAAACGTCCCTGGGTGGGCTTGAACCACCAACCTTTCAGTTAACAGCCGAATGCGCTGACCGATTGCGCCACAGAGACGAGTACAAGTATTTGTGGCAAGACGACGACCGACAAACCACCCTAGGCTAATTATTGAGTCAAAATCAGACAGTTCTGAACTTTAGTGTTACAACCATCAGCTTTTTTCCAGGATAGTGACACTTTTCCTTTGAAAAGTGAGACTTTTTCTTAAAAAGATCTAAGTTTAAGTGTTGTTAACAAAGTACCAGTGTTGGGCAAGCTACTTGTCCATTGTAGTGAGCTAAGCTATCAGTTACTCAGCAATAAATTAAGCTTCACTACACAAAAGCTACCACCTAAAGAATTATAGCAAGCTAAGTTACACTAATGTGTTAAAAGTAGCTTAACTACATCAGAAGCTACTTAACGTTGTACCAACCTAATGTCAATTCAAAATGAGTCTGATGCACTGGTTAAAATATTTATTAAAGATCAGCCAATGACATAACACAGTGTAAACATTGCTTTATGATCAGCATATTAAAATAAAAACTAAAGTAATTACTAGTAGACAAACTAGTAAACAATCTGCTGTTATTAGAACCAAATTAAAGTTACTGTGTAGTGTTCTACACATGGAGACATGGCTATGAGTTTGCATTCAATGGACATCTCTAGGGAAAACGAAACCCTACAAAAGACCTCAATTAAACAGTTGATTCAAGTAACAAACAAAACTGTTTACAAAAGAAGGTGAAAAAATAAAGAAGCTAATTAAGAGATACATATATATACATATATATGTCTCACCATATAATTTAATTTCTACCTACATATTTATTCATTGTATTTTTGGAGGCAATAATTAAATGCTTATTTATTTATTTATTGAGCATTTATTTATTTATGTATTTATTTTATATACGGTAGAGCTGTTCCTCCATAAAAAATGTTATCTGTGCACAGCCTAAAAACAGATTTATGTAAACATCCTGTCAGGTAAACTAGGCCATGAAAATACAATATCGAAGTTTCACTACTGCTCTCTAATTACAGTATCTTAGTGGCACATAGATATGGGAGAATTATCCTGCCATAATGCAAGAGCACATAACTTCAATTAAAGAAAAGAATTTCATCTTCTTGCTCTCAAAACTTATAATGCTCACACTCAAAACATGCGCTCTCTCTCAAATCTTTTCTCTTCTCTCTCAAATCTTTGTTTCTTCTCTCAGATTTAATGCTTCTTGCACAGATATTTTCTCCTCTCGCTTGCTTCCTTCTCTTCGCGCACAAACCACGCTCTGTTTGAGTCTCAGATATGCTCGCAAACCCGTAGACTCTGCTTGCGGATTTGTTTTGCTCTCTCTCAGACTGCAGTTGGATCGTCGCCTAGCAACCTTTCCAGCCAATAGAACGACAGCCTCGGAAAGGGTGCGCTTGTTTAACCCTACTGAGTGTGCCTGTGCTACTACGCCGCTTATAAGAGCGTCAGCTGAAACTGCTATTTACAGTAGTTTTGTGGCTGATTGTTGTTTAGAAATAGAAAACCTGGTTTCATTTCTTAGTTATGCCCTGGATTTTGTAGCGTTTGTGGACGCTACGTCGCTACTTGATCAAAACAATAACGTCGCTACAGGAAAGTTACTTGATAAATAAAGCAGCGACGCTACGCTCAAGCTACTGGAAAATGTAGTTAAACTAATAGCTTCGCTACATGTAGCGGCGCTACTGCCCATCACTGCAAAGTACCCTATATATGCTACTTTCCAGAGAGCTGGAAGGGTATTTTCAACTTGGGCATATGTTCAAGATGAGTAGACATTGTATCTAAGCCACCACATGGAAAAGCCAGGTTTTTCTACAAAGCTTTGCACCAATATTTGCTGAGAAGAGTCTCACAGCACTGCACCTTATATGGATTTCATCAAAGGCAGGTGAAATACTTGGACATCAAAAACTGGTTCAGCCTTAAAGGCAAACTTTTTCTTAAAATAAATCTGAGTTTCGGTGTAAATTTTGTTTAAGACGTAGTTTATATATGCCACTTTCAAGAGAGGTGGACTCTCACATCAACTTATATGATTACATCACAGGCAGGTGAAATACTTGGACACCAATGCCTGGTTAAGCCTTAAAGGTAAACGTCCCTGGGTGGGCTTGAACCACCAACCTTTCAGTTAACAGCCGAATGCGCTGACCGATTGCGCCACAGAGACGAGTACAAGTATTTGTGGCAAGACGACGACCGACAAACCACCCTAGGCTAATTATTGAGTCAAAATCAGACAGTTCTGAACTTTAGTGTTACAACCATCAGCTTTTTTCCAGGATAGTGACACTTTTCCTTTGAAAAGTGAGACTTTTTCTTAAAAAGATCTAGGTTTAAGTGTTGTTAACAAAGTACCCTATGTATGCTACTTTCCAGAGTGCTGGAAGGGCATTTTCAAGATGAGTAGACGTTGTATCTAAGCCACCACATGGAAAAGCCAGGTTTTTCTACAAAGCTTTGCACCAATATTTGCTGAGAAGAGTCTCACAGCACTGCACCTTATATGGATTTCATCAAAGGCAGGTGAAATACTTGGACATCAAAAACTGGTTCAGCCTTAAAGGCAAACTTTTTCTTAAAATAAATCTGAGTCTCGGTGTAAATTTTGTTTAAGACGAAGTTTATATATGCCACTTTCAAGAGAGGTGGACTCTCACATCAACTTATATGATTACATCACAGGCAGGTGAAATACTTGGACACCAATGCCTGGTTAAGCCTTAAAGGTAAACGTCCCTGGGTGGGCTTGAACCACCAACCTTTCAGTTAACAGCCGAATGCGCTGACCGATTGCGCCACAGAGACGAGTACAAGTATTTGTGGCAAGACGACGACCGACAAACCACCCTAGGCTAATTATTGAGTCAAAATCAGACAGTTCTGAACTTTAGTGTTACAACCATCAGCTTTTTTCCAGGATAGTGACACTTTTCCTTTGAAAAGTGAGACTTTTTCTTAAAAAGATCTAGGTTTAAGTGTTGTTAACAAAGTACCCTATGTATGCTACTTTCCAGAGTGCTGGAAGGGCATTTTCAAGATGAGTAGACGTTGTATCTAAGCCACCACATGGAAAAGCCAGGTTTTTCTGCAAAGCTTTGCACCAAGTAATGCTAAGAAGAGTCTCACAGCACAGCACCTTATGTGGATTACATCAAAGATAGGTAAAATACTTGGACACCAATGTCTGGTAAGCCTTAAAGTTAAATGTTCCTGGGTGGACTTGAACCACCAGCCGACTGCACTGACCGATTTCACCACAGAGACAAGAAAAATGCTTAATTGAAAGACGGCAATTGGCAAACTTCCCTAGGTTAATTATTGAGTCAAAATTAGAAAGTTCTGAAATTTAGTATTGCAGCCGTCAGCTTTTTCCACGATAGTGACACCTTTCCTTGGAAAAGTGACACTTTTTCTTGAGAAAGTCTAGGTTTAAGTGTAAATGTTGTTAACAAAGTACCCTATATATGCTACTTTCCAGAGAGCTGGAAGGGTATTTTCAACTTGGGCATATGTTCAAGATGAGTAGACATTGTATCTAAGCCACCACATGGAAAAGCCAGGTTTTTCTACAAAGCTTTGCACCAATATATGCTGAGAAGAGTCTCACAGCACTGCACCTTATATGGATTTCATCAAAGGCAGGTGAAATACTTGGACACCAAAACCTGGTTCAGCCTTAAAGGTAAACTTTTTTTTTTTTTTATCTGAGTTCGTTGTAAATTTTGTTTAAGACGTAGTTTATATATGCCACTTTCAAGAGAGCTGGACTCTCACATCACCTTATACGGATTAAATCACAGGCAGGTGAAATACTTGGACACCAATGCCTGGTTAAGCCTTAAAGGTAAACGTCCCTGGGTGGGCTTGAACCACCAACCTTTCAGTTAACAGCCGAATGCGCTGACCGATTGCGCCACAGAGACGAGTACAAGTATTTGTGGCAAGACGACGACCGACAAACCACCCTAGGCTAATTATTGAGTCAAAATCAGACAGTTCTGAACTTTAGTGTTACAACCATCAGCTTTTTTCCAGGATAGTGACACTTTTCCTTTGAAAAGTGAGACTTTTTCTTAAAAAGATCTAGGTGTAACCCAGGTGTTACTGGGATGTCTGGTTTTTTTTGTTAAAAAAGGAAATTCTGTTAAGACATATATGGGCTTATATAGTTCATAACTCCTGTATTATACAGTTGGTTTATTTTCATGTGCTATGCATTTAAATATTTTGCAGAGATTTACTTTAACTGTTTTGATTTAAAAGAGCGGGTTTTTCTTTGTTTTCCCGGTGGGGGGCGCGGTCCGTTTTCTGGAAGAGGGAAGAACGAGGGACAGTTTTTTTTTTGGGGCCCGGAGGAAAAAGAGAGAAACTGTACGGGAGGGCCACCGGAGTTTGTTTTATACCGAATCGGCGGGGCCTTTTGAAGGGAATTGGCCGTAGTGAGTGTTTAAGTGCTTAGTTTATACGTTCGCCGGTTTGATACGCCTTAACCCAGCCCGAGGGCAGGCCGAGAAAAGTTAGCCCCTGCCAGAGGTTGCTCGGAGCTACTCAGTTAGCGCCCTGGTTTCCGAACAGCCAGTGGTTCCACTGAAGTAGCCGACGAGGGAGCAACGCTACTCGGTTAGCGCCCTGGTTTCCGAACAGCCAGTGGTTCCACTGAAGTAGCCGACGAAGGAGCAACGCTACTCGGTTAGCGCCCTGGTTTCCGAACAGCCAGTGGTTCCACTGAAGTAGCCGACGTGGGAGCACCGCTGCCCGGATAGCGCCCTGGTGACCGGGAAAGCCAGAGGTTCCTCCGGCGACGTGGGAGGGATTTCATCAGCCACCTGGCCGGACATCTTGTGCGGCTCGCACACAGGGTTTTTTTTACATTTGTTTTTTTCCTCTCCACTGGAAGACTGGAACAACCGTACTGTGAGTAAGGGACCTTTGGAAAAGGATTATTTCTTCAGTTTACATAGACAACAGGCCTGCAACGATTATTTTTGGGGGTATTTTCTTTTATGTGCCGGCTATTTTGTTTAGTACCTGCGCAGGTGTTTCAGAGTTTTGTTATAGTGCGGCCACACGGTTTTTTCTGTCATTTTAGAGGTTATTTGCCCCTAGCGGCTGAGGAGTATTTGTTTTTTTTTATTCGTTTTATTGTAAAAGGGGGGTGTACAGGGGAATTATTATTTGTGTTGTTCGGCGTGTTTAAAATAAATGCTTTATTTGACATATATATATCTGAGTTTTGACCACTCACTGAATAGTTCCAGAGTATAGAGGTATAGCTTCAGAGAGGACCCCACCACCCTTAAGGGATCATAGGACATGATTTGGGTTACATAAAATGGCGACGAGGATGGGATTGATTTAATTAATTATTTATTTAATTAATAAATTTTCAGTGAGTGGAGTAGTGTCTAGACTAAAATAGTTGAAGCCGAACCAAAATAGTAGCTGCACAAACTTAATAAGATAACAGTAACAATGTCATTTTTGCTGAACTGGTGCCAGGGAGAGGGGGTAGACCCAACTCATGCATTAATAGTCAAAAGTGTTCCTAAAGATGCCCTTAATGAAGCTATTGAGGGCCATCTTAACGCTATTAAGTGTCTTGGACGTGTCAAAGTGAAAGGACGGATGTTTGATCCCGAAACTCGGGGCCTTGTGGTGCTATGTGCATGTAGCCAGACAGTGAACATCGATGCAATTCCCCCAGAAGTGAGGCCTGAAGAGGGAGATCCATGGCAACTAAGTATACCCCTGGACTCAAGCGCTCAATCAGTGGTCCCCCCTGACACCCCTATAGCTATGTCAACCGACTCAGATGCTGGAGTAGCAGGTACCCCTGACACCTCCAGTCCCAGTGACCCACATTTCACCGCTCTTCTAAAAACAGTGGGGGACATACTGGAGAAAGTCCCAAGGCCAATTGCCCCGGAGAATACAGCTTTTCGAAGGTTACGTCCCTTTTCGGGGACTGCACCTACTCCCAACGGAGAAGAGAACCTAGATACTTGGCTTATGCAGGCCCGCCTAATGGTTGATGAGTGTGAATGTTCAGCGAGTGAAAAGCGCAAACGAATTATTGAGAGTCTCAAGGGTCCAGCGCTTGAAATTGCGCAGGCTGTTAGGTCCAGCGATCCCCAAGCCACTCCCCAAGATTATCTGGGAGCTTTGGAACAAGCTTTTGGTTCATCGGAGTCAGGGGAAGATCTATACTATGCTTTCCGGGCGCTACGACAACATGCAGGGGAGCGACTCTCAGACTTTTTGCGACGTATGGAACACGCCCTGACTAAAGTAGTGTTCAGAGGCGGTGTGATGGCATCACAAAGAGATCGTATAAGAGTTGAGCAACTTCTCCGAGGGGCTGTGGAATCTGATTTGATGCTGGTGCAGCTGAGGCTTCGTGAACGCAAAGAGACACCTCCATCCTTTTTGCAGTTATTAAAAGAGATAAGAGAAGAAGAAGACCAACAAGCCGTACGGCAAAGGCCTGGCCTTGCAGTTACTAAAACGGCTGTTAGGCAAGTACGAGCTACTGATGACGAGCTTAAGCCCCAGGATGCGGCTAAGCTAAAGCAAGAGATAGACCATCTTAAGGTCCTGGTAGCTAAGTTGTCTGCCAAGGACTCTGGCCCCAGTCTTCCAGCCCAGGAATCAGAAACCTTGCTAGCACCCCGAAAGGATGTAGTAAACCACGAGCAGGAGGTGCACATGTTACAGCGTCAATTGTGCGATTTGCAACACCAGATACAGATAATGGCCGTGAGCCAGCGCCCCCCTAACCCTCGAGAATGGAGACCCCGAGATACCAATGAGCAACACAACCGACGAATGACAGGCCATAGCAAAAGTTCACCATCAGAGGGGTCAGGCGACTATTTTTGCTACCGGTGTGGGGAGGATGGCCATGTCGCTACGCGCTGTGAGGCACCTGAGGATTCAGGGAGAGTTATTACCCGCTTGATTCGGTCATTGAGAAAACAAAAAGATGGCAGACAGGAGGCATCCTCCAGCCGGGCAGGGACCACAGACACTCATGTGAAGCACCTGTCCAGTCGCAGTGACGAGCTCACCTCTCCGTCTGACGGGTTACCGGATGGATTAGTCGGGAGGCCCTCTGTAAGTAAGATCATTGTTGAGGGGACTGAGTGTAATGCACTCATGGACAGTGGTTCTACTGTCACCATCATTTTTGAGAAGTGGTATAATGAAAATCTGTCCCATATCAAAATCCAGCCCATTTCCAGTCTGTGCATTTGGGGTTTGAGTGAGTCTAGCTACCCATACAAAGGTTATGTGGCTGTTAACGTAAAGTTCCTGGAGGATGGGCCCAGTGAAAAGCCTCGAACTGTACTGGCCTTGGTTTGTCCTGATCCCCAAGGGCCAGACCAGGTACCGTTGATCATTGGCACTAATGCTAGAGGTTTCCACCATGAACCAGTGTCCGACCCTATGGCTTCGACCTCACATCAGGCTGCATCTTGGAGGATTGGCACCCGTATATTGGGGACGGTGACGGGTCCGAATGAACAGAGGGTTGGCCAGGTAACATGGAATGGGCCCGGACCACTTAAGTTGACTCCTGGAGAAGCGCGCATTGCAGTAGGTAGGGCCTGCATTCACACACCTGGAGCTCCAGGGATATTGGTCCTTGACAACTCCAACACCCTGCCGCAGGGGGTTGCTTCACCCCCCTGTGTGGTCCTTCCAAAAAACCTGGATAAGAATCATTGTGCTGTACTGCTACAAAATGTGTCCCTAAAAGAACGGTGCATCCCAAAGGGCACCGTCATTGCTCAAATACATACTGCTGACGTTGTGACAGAGGTAGATCAGGGCCAGTCCTCCACTAGTAGCCTATGTCCAGAGCTATTTAATTTTGGTAGTTCCCCTTTACCAGCAACCTGGAAACATAGGTTGGCGCAGAAATTGTCAGCCCGGACAAGGGTTTTTTCGGTAGAGGAATGGGATGTGGGGCTAGCCAAAGGAGTGGAACATGAGATTCGACTCAGTGATCCTAAACCATTTCGTGAGCGATCCAGACGTATTGCGCCCGCAGATATTGATGATGTGAGGCGTCATTTGCAAGAGTTGCTGGCGGCAGGGATAATCAAAGAATCCCGTAGTCCCTACGCCTCACCTATTGTGGTGGCCAGGAAGAAAAGTGGCAAGATTAGAATGTGCATCGATTATCGCACTCTCAATTCCCGAACCATCCCAGACCAGTATACTGTACCGCGGATAGACGATGCACTAGACTGTTTGACGGGCAGCCGATGGTTTTCAGTGCTTGACTTGCGAAGCGGTTATTATCAAATACCGATGCTGGAGGAAGATAAGGAGAAAACAGCTTTTCTTTGCCCTCTAGGCTTTTACCAATTTGAGAGGATGCCACAGGGCATCACTGGGGCCCCTGCCACTTTCCAAAGGTTAATGGAACGAGTGGTAGGGGACATGAACCTGCTGCAGTGCATTGTCTACTTGGATGACATTATAATTTTCAGCCGCACACTGGAGGAACATGAAGAGCGCCTCCTTAAAGTCCTCGATCGGTTAGAAGAGTTCGGCTTAAAAGTGTCCATCGACAAATGTCAGTTTTGCCAGACTCACGTCAAATACGTAGGGCATGTTGTGTCTGCCGATGGTGTGTCTACTGACCCCGAAAAGCTCAAGGCAGTAGCCCAGTGGAAACAGCCGACTAATCTCAAGGCTTTGCTGTCCTTCTTGGGCTTTTGCGGCTATTATAGGCGGTTTATTGCCCATTACTCTGCTATAGTACGCCCACTTACTGACTTGACCAGAGGCTATGCCCCTCCTCAGAGAGGGCGCCCACCGAAGTCCACCAAAGACCAACCCTATTTAAATAGGTCTGAGCCTTTCGGGGATCGATGGACTGATGAGTGTACGGAGGCTTTCATAAAGATAAGGAACTGCCTGACTAATGCTCCCGTGCTTGCCTTTGCCGACCCCAGTAAGCCCTACATATTACATGTGGATGCAAGCTTTGATGGATTAGGGGCCGTGCTAAATCAAGAGTACCCTGAGGGATTACGCCCTGTAGCTTTCGCCAGCAGGAAACTCAGTGCCTCGGAGAGAAACTACCCAGTCCACCAGTTGGAATTTTTAGCGTTGAAGTGGGCGGTAGTCGACAAATTTCATGACTATCTCTACGGAGCCCAATTTACCGTTAGAACTGACAACAACCCGTTAACCTACGTGTTGTCCTCTGCCAAGCTGAATGCTTGTGGGCACAGGTGGTTAGCAGCTTTGGCCACTTACAATTTTGGGATTCAGTACAGACCCGGACGTGAGAACATTGATGCAGACCTGTTGTCAAGAAAGGAAGGAGGGTGCGATAAAGAGAGTGCAGAGGAAGAAGGATGGATACCACCATCAGGGGTGAGAGCAGTCTGCAAAAGTGTCAGTTCATCCCATCTCCCTGGAACTATTTCGCGAGGGGTTGACCAGCTCGGAGCGTCTCCTGACTGCATCCCCCATGCTTATGTACACCCTACTTGGGTTAGTGCTAAGTCATTGGAACAGCTGAGTGTAAACGACTTACAGTTAGCTCAAGATCAAGATGTGGTCATTAGTAAGGTGAAACGAGCCTTGGCACGGGGTCGGCGCCCTTATGTCCCCCTACGTGAGGACGCTGAGGTTCACTTATTGCTGCGAGAGTGGCCCCGGCTAGTTCAGCGGAGGGGGGTCCTGTACAGAACCATATGTAAGAGGTTAGGGAGAGAGATACTCCAGCTTGTCCTCCCAAAGCAGTTTCGTCCCCAGGTGTTAAAAGCTCTGCATGACGATGGGGGGCATTTGGGCATCGAACGGACTATTGAACTAACCAGGGACAGATTCTACTGGCCCAGGATGGCCGCAGACATTGCCAGTTACATATATAGCTGCGGAAGATGTGTAGCGCACAAATCCCAGCCCCACCGAACTGCTCCTCTCCACCAAATGACCAGTAAGGGCCCACTTGATTTAGTGTGTATTGACTTTTTGTCAATGGAGCCTGATTCTCGTGGCATTGCAAATGTTTTGGTTGTAACAGACCATTATACCAGATATGCTCAGGCTTATCCCACGAGAGATCAGAAAGCCTCAACAGTGGCCAAAATCTTGCTGGAAAAATTCTTTGTCCATTATGGACTACCTGCCCGAATCCATTCGGATCAGGGCCGCGATTTTGAGAGTAAGCTAATCAAGGAACTGCTCACGGTACTGGGTATCAAAAAATCAAGAACCACGCCATATCACCCTCAAGGGGACCCACAGCCCGAACGTTTTAACCGGACCTTGTTGTCCATGTTGGGGACACTGGACCCGGTGAAGAAGAAGTGTTGGAGTCAGCAAATTGCCGCTATGGTGCATGCTTATAATTGCACCAAAAGTGATGCCACTGGCTACTCCCCGTACTTCCTTATGTTTGGACGGGAAGCGCGCCTCCCGGTGGACCTATGTTTCAGTTCGGTGCAGGAGGGAGGAGAAGGAAAGTCCCACAAGAGATATGTGGAGACTCTTAAGAAAGACCTGCAAGTTGCTTATGAACTGGCTGTGCAAGCAGCCGACAAGAATCACCAACGCAACAAGCAGGCCTACGACCGGAGAGTTCGCTCCCACTTGTTAGAAGTAGGTGACAGAGTACTTGTTCGTGCTTTTGGGGGCACTGGCAAACAAAAACTGAAGGATAAATGGAACTCTGTCCCCTATGTAGTTCAAGAAAAGTTGTCTAACCTTCCTGTGTACAGAGTGAAACCCGAGAAGGGTGCAGGGGTGGTGAAAACTCTGCACCGAGACCACCTATTACCAGTAGGCTCTCTTGTAAGGTTACCCGAAGGGTCTGATGAGGCTATGGAAACAGTCCACAGAGTGGAGCGGACACGGCTGCAGTGTCGTGCTAAATCCGAAGGAGTGGGACCCGATGAGTCAGACTCCGAGGATGATGAATATGTATACACCCCTGCAACAGTGACAAGCTATGCACCTTACCCGGTCCCCGATGGATCGTCACTGTCAGTGAGTGATGGTAGTGAAGTGGGTACTGGCTTACCTCAGACTCATGATGATGTGGAGGGGATTATTCAGGTGGATACTGATGACTTGCAATTAGGCCTGGGAAACCATGTTGAGTCAAAGGAGGATGAATACTGTAACCTGTCGGAAGGGGGTGGTGCTGAGATACCTTGCACTCCCCAGTTTCAAGGTGCTGGGTCCGCAGGAGAGGTCGAGTCTCTCACAGATGACAGTTTGGGGAACGGGGGACAGGCAAGAGATATTGCCCCTCGAGAGAGACGAATAGTCAAGCCTGTGATCCGTTTCACTTATGATGAACTAGGGACACCCTCTGACCATCCATTGGTCATACAGCATAAAGGAATGAAAATATGTGTATCCAGGGATGGGGAGTTGACTAAGCAAGGTCGAGTGGTCAACTGTTTAACTATTAGTATCTTACCTGGTGACAGTGGTTAGTTCAGTCTGATGAGGACATCCAGACCTTTAGAAAGGGGGGAGTGTAACCCAGGTGTTACTGGGATGTCTGGTTTTTTTTGTTAAAAAAGGAAATTCTGTTAAGACATATATGGGCTTATATAGTTCATAACTCCTGTATTATACAGTTGGTTTATTTTCATGTGCTATGCATTTAAATATTTTGCAGAGATTTACTTTAACTGTTTTGATTTAAAAGAGCGGGTTTTTCTTTGTTTTCCCGGTGGGGGGCGCGGTCCGTTTTCTGGAAGAGGGAAGAACGAGGGACAGTTTTTTTTTTGGGGCCCGGAGGAAAAAGAGAGAAACTGTACGGGAGGGCCACCGGAGTTTGTTTTATACCGAATCGGCGGGGCCTTTTGAAGGGAATTGGCCGTAGTGAGTGTTTAAGTGCTTAGTTTATACGTTCGCCGGTTTGATACGCCTTAACCCAGCCCGAGGGCAGGCCGAGAAAAGTTAGCCCCTGCCAGAGGTTGCTCGGAGCTACTCAGTTAGCGCCCTGGTTTCCGAACAGCCAGTGGTTCCACTGAAGTAGCCGACGAGGGAGCAACGCTACTCGGTTAGCGCCCTGGTTTCCGAACAGCCAGTGGTTCCACTGAAGTAGCCGACGAAGGAGCAACGCTACTCGGTTAGCGCCCTGGTTTCCGAACAGCCAGTGGTTCCACTGAAGTAGCCGACGTGGGAGCACCGCTGCCCGGATAGCGCCCTGGTGACCGGGAAAGCCAGAGGTTCCTCCGGCGACGTGGGAGGGATTTCATCAGCCACCTGGCCGGACATCTTGTGCGGCTCGCACACAGGGTTTTTTTTACATTTGTTTTTTTCCTCTCCACTGGAAGACTGGAACAACCGTACTGTGAGTAAGGGACCTTTGGAAAAGGATTATTTCTTCAGTTTACATAGACAACAGGCCTGCAACGATTATTTTTGGGGGTATTTTCTTTTATGTGCCGGCTATTTTGTTTAGTACCTGCGCAGGTGTTTCAGAGTTTTGTTATAGTGCGGCCACACGGTTTTTTCTGTCATTTTAGAGGTTATTTGCCCCTAGCGGCTGAGGAGTATTTGTTTTTTTTTATTCGTTTTATTGTAAAAGGGGGGTGTACAGGGGAATTATTATTTGTGTTGTTCGGCGTGTTTAAAATAAATGCTTTATTTGACATATATATATCTGAGTTTTGACCACTCACTGAATAGTTCCAGAGTATAGAGGTATAGCTTCAGAGAGGACCCCACCACCCTTAAGGGATCATAGGACATGATTTGGGTTACATAGGTTTAAGTGTTGTTAACAAAGTACCCTATGTATGCTACTTTCCAGAGTGCTGGAAGGGCATTTTCAAGATGAGTAGATGTTGTATCTAAGCCACCACATGGAAAAGCCAGGTTTTTCTGCAAAGCTTTGCACCAAGTAATGCTAAGAAGAGTCTCACAGCCAGGTTTTTCTGCAAAGCTTTGCACCAAGTAATGCTAAGAAGAGTCTCACAGCACAGCACCTTATGTGGATTACATCAAAGATAGGTAAAATACTTGGACACCAATGTCTGGTAAGCCTTAAAGTTAAATGTTCCTGGCCTGTTGACCTTTGCTCCATGTCTTCCCTCTTTCTTTAATTCCATTTCCTTTCTGCCTAGATTAAAAAAATATGTATACGCATTAAATAAAAGCCCACTAGAGCCTAACCAATCTTAAACCAAGTGTTTATATTCTTCATTTTATGTCACACAATTTTAGGTAATTTGGGATTGCCAAATGATTTTTATTTGTTAAGCAACAGAATAGTGAGAAAGGGAACTTTTTAGGAATCTTTCAACACTTTTTAAAATTCTGTTTTCTTTTATATTTATGCTCCAAAATGTCCACTTATAATTTTATCCATAAACATTTATATATATTTTTCTAAACCGATGCATGTACTTTTTGAATTAAACAAAAAGAGGCATAGGTGTTTAACCTTTTCAGAGATGGCCTTTTCAGCCTGATCCCACTAGCAAAGAGTTCTCCATAAGCATCCTTGAGAGGATTAACTTTGGCTGTCTGTAAATCTGTTACTAGAACCTCCTGGATAGCCAACACTTTACTCTCATTGCCTTATCAAAATAATCTTCATTAAAAGGATGATGATTAAAATGTGCTTTATCTCTATCTCTCTTCAGTATTTCCTCTTACATATGTTAATTTTTTCTCTTTTTCTTTTCTCTTTTTCTATTTCAATTTATTGTTTATTGGTATTATGCTTTGATACATGGATTACTTAAGAGCATCCTAGCATATGTATACATTACAATGTTTTATATAGATATATATTTATATGTTTATATATACACAGATCTCTATCTATCTATCTATCTATCTATCTATCTATCTATCTATCTATCTATCTATCTATCTATCTATCTATCTATCTATCTATCTATCTATCTATCTATCTATCTATCTATCTATCTATCTATCTATCTATCTATCTATCTGTCTGTATGATTTTTTTCCATCTGTTGCTTCTTGAAAAAAAGGGTTGCAGAGAAGAGGTTGATAGAATTAAACAGAAAAAGACCTGATATTACTTGTATAAATTCTTTTTCACTTATTTCTGTTCATACCATGCTATACAGTATGCTAATTTCTATAATTTAAATGGAGAATGAGCTGAATCTATAGAAAAAGAATGTGGATTCGCATTGAGGGAGCAGATAAAACATTTTTATACTGAATACTGAGCAATAAATGGGGCAAATTGATTCTATCTTGTGCGTAATAATAACACCCAGATAGTCTTTAATTCCAGGGGAAATGGTTGAGAATCACATTACCCGCTTTCCATAATCCATTTCAGGCCCTTCAGACCCCAGGTCATGTTTCCTAAATTAGCTCCAAATTCCTGTCACAACAGGCAGCAGCCCCAGCAAGACCTTCACTGTCTCAATGACACCATGACATCCAGGGAAATTTGGAAGAGGATGGACAGATTATCTTGTTACTTTGTTAAACGGAAACACTGCTGAATTCTCTAACCTCTATGTGGACCACAATTAATGTTCGTCACTACTACAACATTTTTGTTCTTGGTATGTAGCCTAATGTACTGCTTGTCTCTTTTCATTTTATTTTCCCCTTTAAGGTATTTTATTATTGGTTTATTAAGAGTAATTGACATGAATTTGCTCTCTTATTTTTATCTTCTGCCAATTCAATTAAATTTAGTTTATCAATATAACGCAAATACACAACACGTGTCATCTCAAAGCACTTTAAATAGACAATTCAACCAGATCATACAGTCAGATTGGTTCTAAGTTTTCTATCTATATGATGATTTTGGTTCGGATGTCTGTTCTGATTACTCATTTCCCTCACCAGCTTATCTCTGCCCAGTTCTCATTTCCACTCATCTGATCCACCTGCTTCATCTTCTAACCAGTCTTCAGACCAGTCATCATGGCCAGATTATTCAAGCTTGTGGTGAGAGTTCACAAGCGTTTTTGAGTGTTTCTGATTGCCTGATCCGGACCTGTTCTGCCTCTGGACCTCTGAGTCTGTCTGTCCCTGTTGTGATGTCCTTGTAATTCTGCCGGATTTCTGCCTGTCCGTTGACCGAACTTGGAATTGTTTCCCAACTCCTTTCTGGATTTCCTTTTGGCACCTCTCCTGATCTCCTGGCTCTGACTACCAAGCACATGTTCGACGCCAGCTTTGGCTTCACCCTCTAGCTTATCCTGCCTTCCTTCAACTGCTCAGTTTTGATCTCATTCCTGTCCTTGGAGAGACCAGTGACACATGGGACTTGTTGGCAGTCGACCGGCTGGAACCAACCACTTCTTTTGGGTTGAGACTGAACTATAAAACAGAGTTAGTTACTCACACGTTCATTATCAACCTCCGCCAGATTGACGTGATCACTAACCTGTGGTCTCCTCCTGCGGAGGTTTCTGACTTCAAGGCCAACGCTATTTACTGCAGTTCTGCCTTTAATAAATGTTTTGATAAATCTTTTTCCACCTTGAATACTGTGTCCTATTCTTCTGAGCCTGAAAATCTAAGGAAAACCTGCTGATTGCATCGATTCCTTGACTCGAAGGCAATCGCTTACACCAACTATGCTTTTAGCAACATTCGACAGGAAATCTCTCTTTTAACAGAAAGAAACCTCCAGCAGAACCAGGCAGTGTGAGGAGCCATCTGTCGAGGGCGACTGAGGTTCAACGAGACAGAAGGGGAAAGACACAAAGAAGCAGACATACAAAAGTTATCTGTCAACCAGGTCCACAGGAGGCCTCGACCAGAAAACACACAGCCAGGCAGATGAGCTCCAAGCCAGCTCCCTTGTCAAAGGATGAATGAGAGCACATGCAGTTAGCAACAGTCAGAGAAACAGGACTACACTTAAAAACAGGTCAAGCTCCAACATCTATAAACGAAGGTGTTAATGGCAGCAATATTTCTCTCCAGTATGGTGTCACAGCTAAACAGGAACAGACCAGATTAAGCTACTATCATGAGAGAAGGAGAGAGACTATAAAATTAGAGGTTGAACTAACAAACACTGCAGAATGGGAGAATAGAGACATGATGAAGCAAAATTATGAAAAGGGGTCCCTTTGTCCTCTAGCAGTCTAAGCCTATAGCAGCATACTATGTCACATATATTGTTACATCTAGAAATATTCACAAAGTCCTAAGACTAACTCTTGATGTGATTTTACTTTTTTGTTTGCGGAAAGTTGAATACTTTAAAAATCATCTTAAAAATATTTTAGGGTGTACAAATGATCAAATATTTCTTATCAAAATGTCCATGTTCCAATTTGCAAAAAGTTAGTAAAGGTCATTTGAGGGAAAAGTTATAAGTTAGAAAGTTAGAGGTGGTCACCAACTTGACCCTTAAATATATACAATTATGGTTTATCTTTTGTTTATTTAACCTTTAAGCTCAATTGGGAACCAGTCCTTATTAATAATGACAGCCTATGAAAACATTTTTTTTTTAATTTAGAATATATTTATAGATTCAGTAAAACATTTAAAAACCTAGAAAATTCTGACAGTAAACATCAAATAATGGACATGCAATAACTTGTACTGTTGTGGTTATTGAATCAGTAAAATAAATTAATTAGCAAATCATCTTCTATGCACAGTGATTTGGGTATTACGTCCAAGATGTTCTACGTACAGAGAAAAGGTCTTGACCAAAATCAGTGCTTTCTCCTTTCTTTTAATGCAACATCACCCATTTGCCACTGGGCAGCTGGCAGCATCACCATCACCTCTTTCACAACGATCTCTTATTTTCCGCATAAATCTTGTTTAGACTACAGGGCTAGTCTTCAACTAGTCTGGCCAAGTATAGTTCCACTGTTATTGTGTGTGTCTGGTTGCTCTGCTATGGGGCCTGGGGCTTTCTGTTTTGCAACTTCCTGGGCATCTCTCCACATGACATGGTCATTTGCAAGATGTGCACTTCCCCTGCTTGCTAAAACAGAAGCCTCCCTCACAGGACTATACACTGACAGACACCACATAAAAAAAAGTGTTTTTGGTTCTTTTCTTCTTTTTTTTTTTGCATGTATATTTTAAAGTTTATAACTTGAGAAAAATGGATTATAAAAGATATAAAAAAGAAATAATTTTGACTTGACCCCTCTGTAGCCCGGTTTGTGTTATGGTCTTGTAAGAAATCCCTCAAATGTGCTGACATTTTGAGGGTTTAGAGCCAAAGCTTCTCATCACATTCAGAGATGTTTGCAGCCTCTCTGACCTGAGGGACAGCTTAAACATTAATGTGGCACAGGGGAGGTATGAGAGGTTGTGCAGTGTTCAGTATTCCCTCCATCTGCTCCCATCCTCTGAACCATCCAGTAAAATCCACAACAGTCAGGGGAGAGTTTTAGGGGGAAAGGGAGGGGGAAACATGTTAAGCTAGCCAACCGAAAACCAGACAGAGATTTCTTTGCGGTTCTTAGGCAAATAAGTAATCTGCAACAATGTTGTCCAGTTATCTATGTACCAGGTGTACAGGGAAAAATAAGTGTGCAATCATTTTGTTATTAGACATATTGTAAAGAGGCATTGTTTCACTGTGCCCCTTTAAAGAATTTGATTGGATCTTGTAAACTATGTCATGGAAATCAAAGACCTATTAATCATAAAGTAAAATTTGAAAGTCTGCAGATTCAGAACAACTGACATCTAGGACATTTAGTAGGAACTTTGATCTAGGACAGTATGTAATAAAACATTTTGTCAGAGAACTGCA